CAAAGCACTTTCATTTTACGAACGAGCACTTAAAATCCAAACAATAGGTCTTTCTCCGAATCATCCTGACTTGGCTCACTCCTACAACAACATCGGTAATGTGTATAAGAACATGGGCGAGAACTCCAAAGCACTTTCATCGTACGAACGAGCACTTGAAATTCAAACAACAGCTCTTCCTCCGAATCATCCTGACTTGGCTCGTTCTTACAACAACATGGGTAATGTGCATCAGAACATGGACGAGTATTCTAAAGCACTTTCATCGTACGAACGAGCACTTGAAATCCAAAAACTAGCTCTCCCTCCGAATCATCTGGACTTGGCTCGCTCGTACAATAACATTGGTAATGTACATCAGAACATGAACGAGTATCGCAAAGCACTTTCATCGTACGAACGAGCAGTTGAAATTCAAACAATAGCTCTTCCTCCGAATCACCCTGACTTGGCTCGCTCGCACAACCACATTAGTATGGTGTATTGTAATATGGGCGAGTACTCTAAAGCGTGTTCATATTACGAAAAAGAGCTGGAAATCAGTTTGAAATTTCTGCCTCCGAGTGATCCTCGTTTGGCTGATTGCTATGGCAACATTGGTAATGCGTATGACAACATGGGCGAGTTCTCTAAAGCGCTTTCATTCTACGAAAAATCAATTGGTATTTTGCGACGATCACTAGCTTCGACGCATCCGTATATTGTGGGTGTAAAGAAAAAAATCGAAGACGTAGAAAAGAAATTGTGATTAATTGATTTTTTTGTATTCGTTTTTTTTTGATCCGACAATAAATGAGTTGTCTTTCGTTTTATTTTGGTGACCTTCATTCAAGAGATTTCGTTCATTTGTATGAAATTCCTTCCACCAACGTACCATTTCAGTGATGAGTGTGGAGTGTGACGGTGTCAGCTTAGGTGTGGTGTGTGAGTGAGGGCGTGAATGTGGGATGCGGTTGTTGTGTTAAACCACTTCCGGATCCACAACCATATACGCACACCTTTATTTAGAAGCGCAATATAAATATTTCTTTCAGGCTACATTAGATGTTGCTGCTTCGAAGATATCATTATGTTTTGTCATTACTGATCCTTTTGATGATTATTTCCTAATTGGTTTTAAACCTGTTCCATTATCAACTAGTAGAGTTCATTGTCGAACGTTGCTAGGTGAAAGGGGTTAATATACAGTTAGATTGTAAGCAATCTAATCTGCTTTTTTTCGACATTTATATTGTTTCATAGAAATTATGGATCAACCATTCATGTCAATAAATTGGCTCAAACAAAAGGCTGTCAACAAGTGCTATAGCTTCATGATAACGAATGACATGTAGCAGAAATTGATACAATGAATGTGTTTATATATTTAAAAAAGGAGATACTGAATTAGCCACACCACCTTTGAAGGGATGTTTACCGGATATTACTCGTCACAGTGATAGATCTTGGACGTGCATGAGTAAAAATAGACTAACTCATCTATAAAATAATTCTTTGTTTTTTTACTTTTAGAAAGATTTTATTATCTTGAATCAAAATATATCATAATTACTCTATACTTATCTTATTCTGCAGATAAAGTACATACATTAGTTCGAATACTTGCTAAAGCCAAAACTTGATTCACTTTTTCTTGTGGAGCTTTATCTATCAAAATCACTACTTTTACTATGTCCTCAGTAGAATAAAATAAAATAAAATATTTATTATTCTTTGTTATTATTCTGTTAGACATCCTTGACGGTTTATTTCAAATAGAGAAAATAAAAAGAATACCAATAACAATAATATATTTGCTGAATTTTTTTTTTCTATTTTTCTTTTTTTGGGCTCTAATAAATATCATCATTTAATAAATAGCGACAATCGCAAAGAAACAAAGCAAATATACCGCAGACAAAGATCACACATATAGATGCTTGATTACAATAATCCGTTTAAAAAAAATCAAAGAACTATATCAAAACGATGAATAATATACGCTGCATAGATTGCCACAAGAATAATCATATTAAACAATACATAATATAACAAAAAAATAAATATGAAAAATGTTGGTTGTCATGAGATATTTCAAAATCAACAATAGAAAATTTGTTTAACATTTAGCTGTTGTATTTAGCTTAAAAATTTCATGCTCATCTTATCGTCGGCATCAATACGTGCAAGTGTCTCACAAAATTCTTCAAATGTTATTGATTTATCACCGTCATTATCCTAAAACATGAATTGGAAAGTTTCAATATTCTCACTTCTTATTTTGTTGTACTTACTAATTCTCCAATAGTATGATCAGCAATTGTTGCGATTTGATCGTCATGAATATTTCCACCGACCATCATTTTAAGAACTTCTAATAATTCATTTCGATCAATTTTCATATCATGATTTCTATCATACATCTGAATGTAAACGCAAAATTTATTTTTTTTTTTTATTAATCAATATTTCATCCATGAGCACTTACATCAAATAAAAACT